TCTTGGCACATGTTTAATTGAGAGAATTCATGCTAGTTTAAGCACTCAAAAATGAATACCTAAGAACGTGCAACTGGTAAAAATTGAGAATCTCCTAGTGTAATTTTTGGATAAAATGAACAACACAAAAGCAAAATTATCTTATTTTTTTTTCACAGCAGGCTTTTTGTGGGTTTCGCCACTGAACAACAAGCAGAAGTACGCAATTAAATCAATTTCCGCATTTTCCAAAATACTCCAAAAGAACAATTTTTCAACTTTTACAAGACTTTTTGTTCAGAGAAACAACTAGAGTAAAGAACCATTGGAGTTTTGATTGAATTTTTTTGTTGGAAATTTCAGCGAAATTAATTTAATAAATTACTCAAAACGTCTATACTTCCACTGAATACTCCAAACGAAATAAATTTGAAGCTAACCAAAGCAAACATACAAATTTCATGGTATCTCTTTGATTCGGTTCGTTTCAATTATAAAATCAATGGTTTAACTCGAGATTAATCTATTTAATTCTGATGACATTATCAGCTTGTTAAAAAAAACTAGCGAAGTTTTTTTTCTTTGGGAATCCCTTAAATTGTTTTTATAATACATCATCATAATTACGCCTTGAAAACAGATTCCTGCTTCATTTAATAGCTTCCAAAATATTTTTTTTCTGAAAACAATTCAACACTAAGCAGATATTTTACTGGAACAACTATATCAGCACGCCGGTCATTTGGAACATAAGGCAGATTTACTTAAATTTAATTTTTTTGTTGAAGACCTCTAAACTCACTATGACTTAACTTAATTGATTTGCAAAACTTTTTCTCATCTATAAACAAAATTATCAAAGAAATTTCATCAAATACAGGAATGGATAGACATTGAGGCCTGCTGGCCTAGATGACTGAAGCTATTAACGAAGAAAAAAAGTTTATCTGGATTATTTGGGGAACTTGAACAATCAAAACTTTTGCGCAGATTTAGGTTAGAAACTAAAAAAATTTTTGAGCTGGGGCAATGAAATGGAAATGATAGGCGGTTTTGCTTCTCTTTTTTATGCTTGATTCTATTGTGAGCAATAGTTTGTAACCAAAATCCAAACAAAAGTTTTGATTGTTCAAGTTCCACAAGTAATCCATTTAAACTTGAATTTAAATTTTATCATACTCTTCATTTTAGATATTTCTTGGTTTTTGTTCAACCAACCATCCTCCAATTGAATCAGTTTTACAGAAACTGTTCTCAAAAATGAGTTTTGGGTAGATAATTCAAACATTTGAACTTTTGTTAACTAATCCAAATAAAAGTTAGCACTATTAACCTTCTTCGGTCAGAAAAAACTTTCACGGAACAACTAGACGAATCAGATTAAATCAAATTGAACGAAAAGACTTTTGAAAAATTGTTGGTCAAAATAAAACGTTTTTACAAACGGTGGAAACAAAGTTTTCAATAACATAATATAGTATAAGATAATCGGAAATAAAATATCTAACTTCAGAAAAAAACTTTGAACCAGGTTTCTGTATAATTTTGTTTCTACCTTAATTGCTACTTTTGAACCAACTTTCTACCCAGTTTTTTGAAATTGTGAAAAAAAAACAGAAAATCATGTCTTATTGCAAAAACCTCCAAATCGTTGCTTGCAAAACGCGCTACGTCATGAACCTAATCAATTTTACTATAAAAATAGCCCAAATGATTTTTTTTCACATTAGTTTACGACCAAAAATAGAAAAACATATTTCAGAGTAGAATTATTCTGAAAAAATTGTCAATTGTGCTAATTTTTTAATGCATGTGACACTGCTGTTAAAACTTTCTTCATTTGTTTTAGTTGTGAGGTTGCTCAGTGAACAGTTGGCTACTTAGTAGATTTTGAAGAAAACATTGACAGGAAGAAAGACTAGGGTTGAAATAATTCTTCTTGATATGATTAATCAGTTCTTTGCTGCTATAGGTAGTCACTTACAATTTGGACATTTCAAAACTTCAACTTGTATAGAAGTTATTGATGTAATTTGACGTGTGTAACTCTTTTGTTTCTATCAGTGAGTTAAATTGAACTAAGAAAGGACTTGAGACAGTTTAAGAAAAGAAATATTTAAAAAAAAAAGTTTGGTAGAGATTTACACTTGATATCACAGGTCCCAAAATAAAAATGAATTAAACAAAAAACAGAAATACAAATGCCTGAATTTTTAATGAAAAAGAAAATCAGAACTAATTTATTATATTTGCTGTTGCCTATATGAAAACAACCCATCAGATTCGAGTTATTTTTAGTAACGAAGTTGTTCGACATCAACCAATCAGAGCGAAGCTTTTTTATTGAATAAAAAAAAAATTTGTGAAATATTTATTTATTTTGGAAAATGACTATCACTGAACGTTCGATTTTTCTCGGGTTACACTCAATTGTCTTCTCAAATTACTTTCATACTCCCTTAAAAATTTTGATGAACTTTCTGATTGATGAAATAGACGTTAACTATTATTTTTTAACGATGTTTTGATTGTTCAAGTTAAAGTCAAACTTAGTCAATTCTACTCAACAAACAAGTATACTTTTCACCCAATTTTTGATTATCAAAGTTTCAAACTTTCCGCACCGCCTTATCTAACTATAAGAAAATGTTTATTTTTTGTCCTGGAAATTCTCATGTTATTATAAAATTTTTTAAATTTTAGAAAATTGAATTCCGAACTCATGACCAAATTTGGCGAAACTCCGCAGAAAAATTCACTCTTTTTTCAATTCCTCCGCAATTTGCAGAGCTCAAACATTTGTTAGATAAGATTTGGAATAGGAAATTCCGATATTTGTTTTCAGCAACTCCTCAATTTTGAGCTTTCGTTGCAAGTATTTGGAAAAGTTAAGGAAATTGAATGATTGTTTTTGAATCAAATATTTCCTATTGATTAGAGACAAAAAATGGACGTGATTAGGCAGACGTTAGATTTTCTACTCTCGATAAGTTTTATTCTCTCCTCATTCATTTTTGTAATCCTTACCGCAAAAAGTGTTATTATCTTATTTTTGCTTTTTCTTTCAATGCCATATTGAATCCATAAAAAGATGAAATTCGTGAAGGTGTAATAAATTATTCTAATGGAACAAACAAACTTGAATCGTTATTGATTGAAATAAATTTTTCGTATAGGGAATGCTGAAAACTGATTGGGTGGAACTAAATTCCTGTTTAGGAGAATCCTCTCTGATTCATTACCTCCACACAACTGCATTGAAGGTATCGCTAACTCTGAACTTTAAATAATTTATATGTTAGTCAGCTCACGTCAATCACTCATTTTCTCAGCTCACTCCTTCAGTTGAAGAAGTCAAAAAGAAACCAGATATAGTGTTACTAAGCCCTTTTTTGACTGGGACTGAGACTTGGGTTGGAAAAAGTGGAAACTCTAATATGACACTACTCCTGGCTTATGTAAAGAAATTAATGGGCAAAACGCAAAAAAAATCTAAATTTAGCGTGATAGGAAACACGAATTAAGAACACGACCAAAAGAAGTGTCTTTATCTTGTTTTTTGACACATAAAAATTCTAAACTCAAGCTGCAAAAAAAATTGAAGTTTAAGACATTAGTGAACAAAAAACAAACCACACGATACAAATTAGTTTCACTTAATAGCAGACACTTATTTCAATTATGATTACACAGAGGCGAAGCGGAGATTCGCACCACTTGCGATACCCCACGCACACACACACACAAACACACACAATAAAATTTATTCACGCCTCAAATGAAACAATATGCCGCCACTATGCCGATATAATATTGGCCGAAACCTATTAAGCCGAAAAAAAGGAGAACAAAAAAACGAAGCCGAAAAAAATTACGACTAATCAAAAAGTTAACTAGTCCCCCTCACCCTCAAATCACATACACAGCTCGTGAAATGACGGAATATGAGGCGACTGAGCCGATTTAATATAAGCCGAAACCTATCAAGCCGAAAAAAGGGAAAAACATAAAACAAGAAAAAATCAAAAAATTTTAAAGAGTAATAAGAAGTTATTATGTCCCCCTCCCCCTCAAAACACAGACATGCACACAAAAACTTTTTTCGACCATCGAAAGGCGCAATATGTGACCATTACACTTAATAGCAGACACATATTCCAATTATGATTACACAGAGGCGAAGCGGAGCTTCGCACCACTTGCGATAGTCACGCCCACACGCACAAACACACCATAAAGACACACACACACACAAACATCTCACAGCATTGCAAGCTAGCAGACAGAAAATGAAATAAAAGTCACTAAGTCAAAAACAATTAGATTATTTCGAAAAAACCATAGCTACAAAATTTACAAAAAAATTGTCTGGAATGATCTTCAATTCAGAAACACAACAACTGGCGTTTAACACTACTTTTTTAAAAAACTATCAGTAGTAACAGTAGACCGATAGAACTTAAAATTGCACGTGTAAGAAGCCTAGTGATTCAAGTGATTTTGTTTAACAAGTTGTTAAACCGAAAAAAGGTCTATAATCCAGTTTGATAACGCTTGCTTATTGCAAGCGTAAAAAAAGTTGAAAACCTCAAACTCTTGTGTTATTTTGCAATAAACTTACTCATACAGAGACGAAGCGAGAACACGACAAAAAGCAGCTCTATGAAGTGTAATAAAAAAGAAATAAGCCTCGAAGAAGTAAAAATTCTGCTACGTGTCGGATTCGATACTGAGACCTAGAGACTTTGAGTCTCACACACTAAGCACTAAGCCACGGACGCTTAGCAAATCACAAACACATACTAGTAACAAATAAATCAGAGAACAGATGCTATGACATTTCAAATGCTACAGATTGTGATTATAGAAAAAGTGCCACCAAATGAACATTTTAAGTGAACAATTTTATTTGCAAGTTAGTTTAGAAAAAAAGAAGGTTCGTACTAACACACTAACGCTCGCAAGCTGGCTAGTGCAATACTAGAAACTGGAATAAAACAATTTAAAATCGACCTGTCAACTTCAATTTTTTGGCCGTTTTTGTTGTAGTACTACTTCCAACTATATCGACTCATTCATTAGACGTTGCTAATATTCCACACTTGGATTCAATTTAACCCAGAAAATAATCAATAAACAATCCAATCCGGGCATATTTGCAGTTTTCTTTTGCTACATAAAAACGGTCGAAACAACTTGTTCTCTTCATAGAGCAACTAGAAATTTTTATTCAGTCTTTGGATTGTGATCGGCTTCGTTTTCTATTCTTCTTAGAAACATTTGCAGCTACATTTTTTCGAGCTGAAACAATTTCCGATTTCAATGAAAACATCACAATTAGAATGTTTTTATAATCTTCGTATAGTTCTTGAATATACTAACTTTGTCTGCTTTTGATCGGAACATACGCTCCCTTCGAGTGCGTTAAAGAGAACACTCCGCTTTGCTCCAGGGCAAGATCTACAAAATTTTGGGCGATTATTAACTATCATACTGAACTAGTCAAAAATTTTTTATGAAGTACTCTATCGAAAATCAGCAATAGTGAGAAAGCATAACTCAAGTTTAATATGAAAAAGGAACTTTCTTGCTTGGTAAATTAATAATAAGCCTCACCTTTGGAGCTTGTGACATTTGAAATTGAAGTAAGCTTTTCAATAATTGTCTCGGTCAAACTCTGCTTAGTGAAGTTATCAGTCCACATTTTGCGACCACTTTTCAGCAGAAAAACCAACACATCTAGAAAAACATGCCCGACATCAGCATTTTAGAATTATATCTTAACTCGTATCGTACATTACATGTCATTACAGTACAGTCATTACCTTCATCATGGATCCATTTGACATTGGGAAACCCGGTCTCGTGTAATATCAGAGGCAATTCTAAGAATACAGCTTAGGTATCACCGATTGAAATGGGTTCGAAAATGTTCAGAACCACGACAGGAAAATGTTACCTGAAGCCATCATGTATTGCGGTTTCTCAGGGATTACATCCAAATTTAGGAGATCGGAAACCACCTGCGAAAATACCACAAAATCAACGACAATACTGGTAATCTCCAATTTGTGTAAAACCCGAAAACAATAAAAGATACGAAAATCATCCCAGATAAAATCCCCCCTCAAAAAATATCTAGGCCTTATGAAGGGTTTTATCTGGGATGACTTTGGCTGGACACGGAAATAACAATTCTCAGCTTCAAGCCTACCCTGTTTGTGCCCCCAATTGTTTTTGTTGAACTTACAAACTAAATCATTATTTCAGAATGAATTTTATACAGCCTGGGGGAAAATTGAGAACCGTACTGATTAAGTTTCCGCACTTCAGATTAGAAAGTGTAGAGATAGTCAAAATATGAACTGGTTCAAAGGTAAGTTATCACGAATCATACATACATGTGGCGCTTCCTGTTTGAGTCCGACACTGAACAGGACACTCATCATGTACCTGACTTGGTGGTAGAGAAATCCCTCGGCCTTCACAGTGAAACAACACTTGGTCAGCGAGTCATTTTCACTGTTCCTATAAGCAAATAACCATTCAGTAAAAAATCCTCCAGCCATCATTTCTATGGGGAAAAAAATCGAATGATCCAGCTCGGGAAAACACCCAAATTGCATGTAGGTTCTTACACACGTCGAACAACAGAGTTTCACCTTAACTAGCAGGGCCCCCTTGCAGCTAAAGCTGGCTAGAGGGTTGGATGGCTGAATGGATCGATGGATGGCTAGCCATTCAGTAAACAATTCTCTAGCCATCATTTCTATGGAAAAAAAATCGAATGGCCCAGCTCGGTAAAAGACCCAAATTTCATGCAGGTTCTTACACACGGCGAACAACGGCGTTTCACCTTAACTAGCAGGCCCAATGCAGCTAAAGCTGCCCTGAAAAATAGCACGTTAATATTTAGTAAAATCAAGGATCAATGACGTTACTGTTGTATGGTGGATAGCGGGATGAAGGGTTGAGTGAAACGATGAATCAGCAGGTCGATGGATCACTGGTGGGATGCATGGATGGGTAGATGGATTCATGGCTTAATGGATGGCCCATGACGGATGGATGGCTAGATGAATGGATGACTAGTTCGATGATTGATGAATAGCTGAATGGATGACTGGCTGAACGTCTGGGCGGAGTGGCGTATGGGTTGCCGGATAATTGATGGCTGGCTGAGATAGGTGGACCGCTAGATGAGTAGATGGCTGGATGAGTGGAGGGCTAGATTTATAGATGGATGGCTGGTTGACTTGTTAGATGAAAGGAAGATGGATGTCTGAAAGGCTACATCGATGGTTGGATGGACCCTAAGGAAGGATAGCTAGATGGGCGGCTGGCTAGAGGGCTGGACGACTGAATGGATCAATGGATGGCTAGCTGGATCTGGGACGTCTCACACTATCCAAATAGTCGTTTGGGAGATCTGCACCCCATGAGAGTAACTCAACACCACCCCGCCATAAGGTCAAGATTTAAAAAAAATTGAGAACGTTTTTTCAAATGTAAGTTTTTTTGGCGGAAGGGCTAGATCAATGGATGGCCAGATTAACGGGATTTATGGATGGATGGACGGAGAGATGGAGGGTGGGAAGGACCGATGTCTTAATAAATGGATGGTTGGATGAACCACTCGATGGCTAGTTTTTTAATAGATGGCCGGTTGGCAGAATGCATGGAAGCAAGGAGATGAGCTAGACGCGTGGAGGGGACAATAAATGCATGAAACACCAGCTACATGAACGAATGGATGGCTGGCTAGTTGGATGGATGGCTAGTTGGAGTAAGGGATAGTTTGTGTGGGCGGAAATGATGGATAGCTGCTTTGATGGATGGATAACTAGTGCGATGGATGCCTGATTCGATGGATGATTGATTGATTGGATGGCTAGATAAACGGGTCGAGGGAAAGATGGCTGGTTGAATGGATGGATGACTTCAGGGATGGATGCATAGCTGGTTATTTGCGTATATGAATGGGTAGGTGCAAAAAAGGCGGAATGGATGGAGGGCTAAATGAAATGATGAATAGATGGATGGCCTAATAGACAGATGATTGAACAAAGGAATGGTTAGAGGAATGGACAACTGGTTGATTATCGGACTGAAATGGTTGCTTGATGAATGTATAGGTGTTTGCATGGCAGAATGGATAGCTTTTTCGATGAATGGAATGGCAGGATAGTTGGACGCCGGCTTCAAGTGGTGAATATGATTGCCCGACTCTCCAGGTAGTAAATGATGTCAAGCCCCCGCCCCTCCCATGGGTCGGGTGAAGCTCAAAAATCTCCAGGTTTTCGGTTACGGAGCGTCTGAAGTCGACCACGCTGCTCCGTCAGCTAATACTCATCTTACTCTTTCGCTCTGGCATTAATCCAAACCCTGGTCACCAAAATTGTTCCCGCTTGCAACCAAAACATACACCGTAACCAAGCAAGTCTCTGGTGTCACATATGTAGCTGGATACATTTTAAATGCAGCGGTTTCAAGATTTTAAGAAGACCAACACCGCAATTTTTACTGCCCCCTCGTACGTTTTTTCTACTTCTCCCCGAAACCAAAGCCACTTGTTATCTACCGGTAAAAATTTCCCCCAACCACACAATATCGAACCTTTTGCCTAAACCGGCCCACCACTCCCAGAACCCAATACTGACTAATCCCACAAACTCCTCGACAATTTCCGTAACCAACACCCAACTGACAAAAGGAACCCTTAGAATATCTCAAATTAAATGTAACGGAATATCTGGGAAAACTCCCAAAATCGCAGCTTTTCTAGCCGAGAATCAAGTCTGTATAGCTCTGTTTAAGGAAATCAACTTGAAAAAAAATTGGTAACCCCTCCCTAGGTCCTGTATCCTCACTAATTTGTAAAAAAAAAAAAAAAGAGGGTGGTGGCCTCCTCATTGCTTTCCAGGAATTTTGACAGTACGAAGAACTTACTCTAAACACCGACGGTACGCATGAGGCAAAAGACTAATGAAACTTCGTATCAGTAAATTCTACATACCCCACAGATCTAGTTGTCCTTCCTAGTTATACCACATCCCTATCTGATCTTATAATGAGGATCTGATACTGGGGGGACGCCGATGCCCATTTTCCTTTTGGTATTCTTATACCGAAGGAGATTCACGTGGTGGAGTAATCTGATGAAGTGACTCAATCCACTTTTGCACCATTAGAATGACGACACCCAAACAAGATTCTGATGCACCACATTCCTCACCTGAAGTTTCTCTTGCATCGCAATGAGTTTAGTTTCTGCATCCTGGGCTCCAATAAACCCTTAGGCTCCGACCACCTCCCCACCGATAACTACATACACTTTTCTCCGAAAAAGACATACATAAACGTCCTCATGGATGATTCGCGGCAATTTACCGAGGAGATTGAGGCGAGTTTCTTTATTTTGGGGATTCGCTCTTCAATTGTGGCTGGGGAGAATTTCTGCAGGGATATGGTGCTCACATCTCCGCCGGGCGTCACCGCCACTACATCACGTCACTTCTCCGGGGCCAGCTTCTCTTACCATTGAAAGAGACCGCGGCAGTCAAAACAACCAGACCATGGAAACCACACAGCACTCTCGGTACACATCTTCCTAAATTAATTCCCTACTCGTGAACCAGAGAGCAAAAGACAACAGAAATAAGTGGCGTAAATTCCTCCACTTGTGATTACCACTCTGGTGTCCAAAAGTTCTCGAAAAAGATACGCTTCTTGAACGGATCAAGGCCTGTGGTAGGTAGGCACCCCATTAAATTTGTCTATAAACTATAACTGCAAATGCTGATATAGTAAAAACGTTTTAAGCAATTGACAAATTTTAGGAGCCATGCCTCCGAAAATTTACTAAGGAAAACTAAACGCAATCTGACAAATTTTCTCTGTCCGACAGCACATCTTTAACCACACAAACTAAGCAAGCCATTGCTGATAGCAATTTTTCACGAGCACTCAACCCAGATCACCTTTCTAATGTCCACATCAATCCTCTTGCACTTGAAAAGTTGACGTATTTGTTGAATCTTTCGCTGTCTGATAATACTATCCCCTAAATGTGGAAAAACTCCAAGGTTAAACCGCTGCCCAAGACTAAAAAAAAACTATAAAGTTTCCACAACGTACAGGCCTATTTCACTACTGTTCCCACTGTCAAAACTTCAGAGAGGCTCATCTTCCCCTTCATCTTTCCCTTCTTAACAAAGCAACTTCCCAATGCCACACAACAAAACAGGTTCTGCATACTTCACTCCACCACAACCGCACTCTCCGCCCTTAAATTTTTAATTACTAATGGCTTCAACCAAAATCGCCCTCGCTTACGTTTTGTTCTCGCCACACCTTTACCTTTCAAAGGCATTTGATATGGCGTGTCATAGGACACTAGTGGAACTCATTCATGACACACCTCTGCCAAGAGGTACAGTTCGCTGGCTGAGCATTTATTTAAGTGTCCGACAAGCCACCACTAATTTTAAAAATAAATCAATTAACCCTATGTAGAACTGTTCACTGCGGTGTTCCCCAGGGCTCTGTTTTAGCATTGATTTTTAAAAAACTTTTTGAGTCGATGACGGCCCTCGCCCCCCCCCCCGAAAATGCTCGCCTCACTTCATACGATGATGATATCCACCCCTTCGCCCAAAGCCCCGACGTTGAGGCAGCATTGAGCTGCAAAGCTTTTTTATTTACCGTAAGCTAGTATTCGAGTCCTGTAAAAAAAATTAGTTTTCTGCTTTCGTCATACCGCAAATATTTGAACAAAAATTCGACTGTCTTTTTAAACAAAGATTCTCTCCCTCTCCTTAAAGATCCAAAAAATTAAGGAAATTTTACTGACCCGACTATGCTTTGCAGCTCACTACAAGAGATCTGCTCCAAAGGCTCGTCGCAAGATAGGAGTCCTGAAGGCGTTAGCAGGTTCCTGTTGAAGTCAGTTTAAAGAAACCCTGCTTACAAAGCCTTAATTCGTCGTCCTATTTCAGACTATGCTTTCTCGACCAGGGCACACGCCGCCAGCAAAACTTTCATTCGTCACCTACAGATCACCTAAGCCAAGCCCTCTGTCTTATCAGTGGCTCAAGTTTTATGAACTCAACTGCCCATCTGTACAGTGAAGTCGAAATACTGAACTTTCGAGAGCACCTTTCCTAGCTTCTCAGTTTTCACTCTCCACACATCCGTTACATCGCCCAAATCAATTTTAACACCCTTACTCCACAAATCCACGTCAATTTTGATAATCTATTTTTGGTGCTATTAAGATGACACAGACTCCCTTGTAACCGACAAAAATCCGTCTCCAAATCTTAACGACTAAGAAGAAGTTACCATTCTCGTTTTAAATCACCGCAAGTTCCTTAAAAAACTCGTGAAACCATAAAAAAAATATATATCGTATTCAAAATCCTAGCAGAAAAATCATTTGTATTCCGCATCCAAGCATTATCCCTCTGAACAGTCACTTCCCAGAAACACCCGCTCTAACCTTTCCTATTTCGGTCTCGTTAGAGTCGGTTTTTAAACTCTTACCTCGCCCGCTTAGACAACCAAGTTTCCCCATTTTGCCCAAGTGTCAATTGTCACCCCACACTAGTTGCTATATTTAAAACTGTCCCAGAAATCCTCTTTCTTTAAATCCAGCAGACCCAGGGTTGAGACCGGTAGAGCTAGCGAATTTCCTTATGGATAGGTGAATGTTTGGACTGTTAGAGAGATGCATGGACTCTTAGACGGATGGATGGCTAAATTGATAGAGAGTTAGGTGAGTGGATCGATTGCTTGATGGATGGATGAAAAAATCGATGGATTGCTAAAAGGATTAGCCATTTTATGATTAATTCTCCTGATGGCTGGTTGGAGGGGTAATTGGTTCAAGGGATGAATGATTTGACTAGTGGATTGATGGACGGATGGATGTATCGTTGTATGAACGGCTAGATCGATTCATGGCTTGATGAATGGATAGTTGGATTGATGGCTAGCTTCATGAAAGAATGGCCGATTGGATGAATCGTTTGATGGATGGATGTACGGGTGCATGCATCACTGTATGGATGGCTAGATCGATGGATGGCTCGATAGATGAATTATTGGGTTAATGGACACCTGAATGAATCGATGGTGGGATGAATGGACAACCCCCTAGAGGAAGGATAGCCCGAATAATTAGATGCGTGGATCGCTAGAAGGTTGGATGGATCGATGGATGGCTAGTTGGATCTGCGACAACTAAGACTATCCGAATAGTTACGTGTGGAGGTCTGCACCTCCTGACAGTAACTCAACAGCACCCAGCCCTATAGTTAAGAATTTCAAAAGTTGAGAACGTTTTTCCAAATGTAATTTTTTTGCTGAAAGGCAAGATCGATGGGCGGCTAGATGAATGGGTTTTATGAATGATGGACGGAGGAATTGACGGATGGCTAAACCGATGGACGGTTGGATGGATCATGGATAGCTTGATGGAAAGTGTTATAACCGATGACCACTTGGGAGGACGCATGGGAGCATAAAGATGCGCTAGACGGGTGGAAGGGACAATGCATGCATGGACTAGATGGCATTCATTCGTTCACTATATTAACGAAGGAATTGCTAGATAGTAGCCAGTTGAATTGCTAGTTGAATGGATGGCTGGTTACAGTGAGCAAAGAATAGTTTGAGTGATCGCCGAATTGATGGATCACTGCTTGGATGCATGGCTGGCTAGTGCGATGGGTGGCTGGTTCGATGGATGATTGATTGGTTGGATGGCTAGATAAACAGTCGACTGGAAAGATGGCTACTTGAATGGACGGATGATTTGAGGGATTGATGCTTGAAAGAAGGAATGGTTAGAGGGATGGACCACTGGTTGATTATCGGGCCGAATGAATTGCTTGATAAATAGATAGCTGTTTGGTTTAATAGATGGTTGAATGAATTGAATTATAGATGGCAGGATAGTTGGATGGCTGGTTTGCTGAATCGATGGATGACTGGATTGGTGGATAGATGGACTGCTACATTAAAGGATAGACGGCTAGACGGATGATTGGCAACATTGATAGATGTTTAGATTGGATAGCTGGACTGCTTGATCAACTAACTACTGATTGCTTGATCGATGGATGGATAGCTGGAGGGAATTTTGGATGGGTGAATGGCTAGATGGATTGCTAAATGGATTGCGGAGTTATAAATAATTAACTTGATGGCTGGTTTTCGAACAATTGGCCGAATTGATTGATGAAAGGCAGGATGGACAGAGGGATTTATCGTTGTATGGATGGCTGGATGGCGAGATCCATTGTTAGCTCAATGGATGGATGGTTGAATTGATGGGTAGCTTCATGGACGAATGGCTGATTGGATGGATCACTTGATGGATGAATGGAAGGATAAATGTATCGTTGTATTGATGGCTAGATGTTTGGATGATTCGATTGATGGATAGCTTGCCAAGTTTTAGCCACTCCAACAAACGGGCAATTCAACATTTTGAAAGTTGCCAAGTTTTAGCCAGCCCAACAAACGGGCAATTCAACATTTTGAAAGTTTACAAATAAAAAAATGTCAAGTGAAAAACTTCAAGGCGTTGCGAAGCCGCATGGAAGGACTGCCAGATAAAAACCTGAGGTTAATTTGACTGCATCTTATCATGGAGTTGAAAACTTCAAATTAAGTAAGTTTTCTCATCCAATTTGATGAAAAATTTTGAAAAATCTTGAAAAACGGCATATCTCGGAAAACAAAAGAATTTAAGCAGTCACAATTGGAGGGCGAATTTGGACAAGCTGAGTGTACCATGATTGATAATATTCTGCCAGAGGGTTGAGAATTTTGGTTTGTTTATTTTTTATTGAGTTTTTAGTTTCAGAATAATAAAATGTCACATCTTCAAAAGCAAAGAAAGCAGTCCAATTTAGATGACAGAATTGCAACCTCGTAGTGTACTAGAAAAGAACCCCACTATACGGTTGAGAATCTCAATTTCGGAATTTTTTTACTTTAAATTTTCCGGAAAAAAAGCATGAAAAACGCCATATTCTCGGAAACCAAAAGGAGCTTAGCAGTAAAACTTGCGGGCCAGATTTGCAACACCTAAGTGTACTTTTACAGCCTACCACCATGGGGTAAGACTTTCAAGTTGGGTTAGAATTTCAAAGACTAGATTTAAAAAAAATTCTAACCTGAAACTTTTTTTTAAATAATTCTCAGAGATGGCACATGGCGGAAACTATGGTTTTGAGCAGTCATATTTGGAGGCAAGTCATATTTAAACAATTGATTAAATATACGCCTAAACGAAAAGCGCCCGTTACAATGCATAGATGGATGAATCCAATCTTTACACTACGCTGCCCTCCTCTTCCCCTCCGTTTTGGCATCATTGCTAGTCTTAAATTCGGCCTTTCAATTTCCCTAGCTTTAACAAACTGCAAAATCCAAAAAAATCTTAAACATTGCAATATACGATATACTTAAGTGTGCAAAAACACTTTCGTAAAACATGCAAAAATATTACGCTTGAACATGGTGAGATACCTGTCACACGCAATTAAATATAGTATAAATAGAAGAGTGGAAAAGCTCGTATATCTGTCCTTTCCCACTGGGAAAGATGGCGTTAACTTTTCTCGATGTATAATACTGAGATGAAGAGAAAGTAACATTTTTGAAAGGCAAAAGTCGTGGTAAAACCAAACGCATTGCTGAGTCTATAGAAGAACTATGAATTATCGCCATATGCTTACTTTTGCACTTCTTCAATGTTAACTTCCCAAATTGACCTTTCAAACATCTGCTGCCTAGTTCTGTCAATCTAAACACATAATTAAATGTTATACGAGATATTCGGTAACTCAATGTTCTGTTTAGTATCAACTAGTTTGCATAAATTTGGTCTTGATTTTGAAAAAAAATGAGACAAGGAAACGAACAATACTTTACAGAAGTTTTGATAGTTGTTCTTCCCGACCAAAAGCGAGGCAGCTTCCCTCATCAGCTAAAAAACATCAACAATCTTTATTGATCACTTTCTTGGTTTCAATTAATCTGTTTACAATGTAGTTTTAAATAAATGGTTCCACCTCTAGGTCTAGTTGACACTTCGGGAAGAAATACTTGTACTGTCTGTATGAACAATGGAATCTAAAACAGCAGATAACGAATTCATTCTGGCCGCTTATAAACTAAGAATTAACATTACGTTCAGCCCACTAATTATTGATTGCACGTAGAGTCTTTAAGTAAAATTTGGTTTTATTCTGACAAAGTAATATCCTAGTCGCAGATCTAATCAGCTGGGATATCAGCTTGAGTTTTGTTTGTTCTACCAATGTCATTGAATCATTGAAGAAATACTTGCCTAGCAGTGAAATCCTTCGGAACCGGAGCCCATGCATAAAACATGATATCAGATGGCGTGTTCCGGTTCAGAATATTCAAATAACTGATCTCTCCTTCTATTGGACAGTTCTCGTCTATTTCTGACCAATCAGGAAGCGGGATTCTGTCCACAAAAACATGCTTCAGTTCCTTGTTAAACTCGCTCGTTTCTTCATCTGTATCTGTCTGCATTGGCTCGATGAAATCTTTTAATGCTATATTTGTATCTGTCAGATGTCCGCCATTTTCTTGAACAATTTGACGATCGATGTTATCTTTTGCAGCCGAATCCGAGTTCGATTCACCATAAGAACTTCCGACGTTGATCAAGTTGCTTCTGATGTTTAAAGATATGACTTGTTCTAGGGCACTCACGCCTACAGACAGATAAACTCCTTGAAAACATGAATTTATTAACCTGTAAAGAAAAAGAGGGCACAACCCGGCAGCCATACATACATCACAATCATCCCAGTATCGAAAAACAGTAGGAGCGTCCTTTTTCTGGAAAAAATCTGAACTTTTCTTAGTTTCGTTTTTAACTCCAACAGAAAAAGAACTCTAAGAAGATATCTGATTATATATTTGGTCCGAAGGCCAGAGCTCCAAGAAAAAACTTAAAATGTCCCGCCCATTTTTTCCTTTCGTGAGACATAAGCAAAGTAATCATTTTCTGTTGTAGTCAAGGTGTGGAAAAAATTTGGGGCGTTTAAAGGCTGTTTTCCACCCTAGGGCTCCCTAATCTCACAAAACTCAACAAAAAAACTGAAGACGAAAGGGATCGGAACTGTTTTTGTCATGAGCATGGCTCTTACCTTTGTCGGTTCTGCCAGCCTTGCTGTAGAAACAGTTTTCATTTTCGGGTATCAGTCTAGTTCTCTTCAAGGCCTCCAGAACATGGTGCTAAAACAAAACAGTCAAAATAATATATCTTGTCTACGTTATTCACGGATCTATACATTTGAATTTTATAACTTTGCATAACACAATAAAAGTAAAGCACGAATCAAAAACTGTGCATTTATACGCTAATGCAGCTCTAGTACCAAATATATCGAGCACTTAACAGCGTTGCAAAAAGTTATATTTTAGAAAAAAAAACCTGCAGGAACTTTTAAAAACAAAAACTTTACTTCAATTTCGACATTCATCATATTTATTTAACAAAGAATCGGAAAGACGGATCAACTTTCTGTTCATCAGTGGAACAATTGTCACTGATTACTTCACTCGCAGCGTGAATCAGTGATGGACTTTGACGACCTGAACGAGTTCCTTGGGAAGATAGACAATGCCAAACTAGATGGAGTGGGAGACGATGGAGAGGAGGAGGAGGTTGTGGAGTATGATCCAGTGGAGGGATTCGACTTCCACAATGCAGACCCACTGAGTGACCAGATGCTGGAGTTCCACCATCCTCAACTCAACTGGCTACTCAGGGTTAGAAACGAATACTCTTTTTTAAGTTATGGTAGTGCTGCACTATTGGCGAGGAAGCTCGCTAGTGATCGTATCGTCGCCGGTTCAAAATTCACGAGTGTTACAATTTGCGAGATGCCCTATTGCAGGCAGACCATTGCTTAATAGCCTAAGCAATGAACCTTTGGTTACTGCACTGGTTGATTTAAAAAAAAACTCGTGTTTCGAGAAAATTATGAAAACTGTATGCACTTCGTAGAATCAAATAGAAGATTGATAGATATGTCTTTATATTTTATTTCTTCAACTCTCGAATTAAATTGTCTCAAACCAGCCCATCCATCTACCTATTTAAGGAACTGGCCAATGTGAAATCTCTGGATGGGCGGGACTTTGACAAAGTAGAGGGGAAGAACAAAGACCTGCAGAACATCATTTTGGAACAAGTGAGGGCTGCCAAGAGTAGTGAGAAGGAGGGCAACCAGTGGAAGGCGGAGTTCGAGGCCCAGAGAGAGTACAACAACAAAATCGGGGAGGACATTCTGCGCATGACAGACAGAATAGAACATATAAAGGGTAGGACACAAATGATCATCATTTCATAAGTAATAAATTGCACATAAAATTCACATAGAGTCCAAGCTGCGCTTCGCAAATACTAACCAGAACACGACAAAAACGCAGCTTTATAAAGTGAATTAAGAAAATATAGAAATAAGCCTCGAAGTAGTATAAACTTGCTACGTATGGGCTTCGCACCTGCGACTTCGAGAAGTGGCGTCACATGCACTGCCCTCTCGGCCACGAACGCTTAACAACGGGCAAACACTAGTCAAAAATCAAGTAACTACATCTGCTACCAAATTGCCAATACGATGCAGTAAAAGTGGCACCAAATACAAATAACACATTTTTGCAAGCAATAGTTTGGAGTATAACAATCTCAATCTGAAGGCATCCACACAAACTTTGCATCTAATAAATTGGAAATCACAAAGCCACATTATGTATGAATTAAGTTTTTCAAAAAATGCGCGATATATTTAGTTAGAAAATTTCTGAAATCGAGTTTTTATTATAGTTATGTTGCTTAAAAAAACAGCGTTTTTTCGGTTCATTTGATGAATTTAAAATGCATCAACTGTGTTAAATTATTACTATTCGAATACCGAAGCACATGCTATCAAACAGCCGTAAAGGTGCCCTAAAAGTGGCAACAATATTTGCGGCTTAGGTTAGAAAAAAGGATAGTCGTAGTATAACACAAACGTTCGCCTAAGTTCGCTAGTGTAAAAAAAATGAATTTCATAAAAAATCATAACAAGATCTAGAGTAGCAAAAAAGGAGGGAAACTGGCTAGTGTAAAAAAAATCAACTTCATAAAAAATAATAATAAAATCTAGAGTAGCAAAAAAAGATAGGTCTAATTAACTCAACCTGTAATGTGGAAAAATAGAACAAGGGACTATGCTTAGACAGGCTGGTTAGCCTTTCATAGGTCCTCTGCGAATCACAGGAACCAAAAATAAATTCGCTTTCAAGAAGGAAACAGACTCGATTATTTTTCACACAACTCACAACAATAAAAAAAATCCCATCTTGGAAAAACACTAAAAACGAAAGATAACTGCCTATTGAGGTGTTGTCACAATTTCGACCCAATCACTTCATTATACGGCACAACAAAAACTTTAAAAAATATCCGATGTAAAAAAAAACATTTTTTGATCCCCGTCATTGTATGAAAATGTACACAGCTGCAAAGCTGAGCTTCGCACGATTAGCAATACAAAACAAGAAAGCCGCCCAGTCGAAATAACCGAAAATTTTGAAACAATTACATCTATCGATAAGGCTAGTTTTGAAGCAAAACCGAGCCACGACAATATAATGTGAAACTAGCATAGAAACAAAAGTTATAGTTATCAAGCGATAATAAAGCCGGAAACAATATAGCAGAAACCCTTTAGGCGGAAAATTTTACAGAAAACACTATCAAGTCCCCCACACCCTCAAACAAACAAACACACACAACTATACAACACACACACACATGAAACACACTCACACAACACAAACCAACATACACACATCACATACCGATAACACACACACACAAACTTTATTCTGTGTGATATAAACTTTATACTTATAGCAGATATAGTATTGGCCGAAACCTAATAAGCCGAAAAAAAGGAAAACAAAAAAAATGAAGCCGAAAAAAAATTAAGACTAATAAAAAGTTAATTAGTCCCCCTCACTCTCAAATCACATACACAGCTCGTGGATCGACGCAATATGAGGCGACTGAGCCGATTTAATATAAACCGAAACCTATCAAGCCGAAAAAAAGGAAAAAACAAAACAATAACTTCTTATTACTCTTTTAAAATGTTCGAATTTTTTTATGTCCCCCTCCCCCTCAAAACACAGACACGCATACACGAACTTTTTCGCCCATCGGAAGGCGCAATATGTGACCATTAGACCGAAATAATATAGGCCGAAACTTATCAACCCGAAGAAAAAACGGGAAAAAAATTTTAAAAAAAAATTGTTGTCATAAAAAACTTGAACTATAGTTTCTAATAAAATTTTCAGCAATTTGTGCGATTCAGAGGTGGGCAGAAAAAAAAACATGTTTCCCTTGAAACTACTCAAAATTAAGCCACTAGGCCGATCTAAAATAGTCTGAAACCTATTAAGCCGAAAGAAGGACACAAAAATAGCAATATAAAATTTAAACACAGGCGAAGCTGAGCTTCGCACCTGGGTTAAAATTTTATTTTTTGTTATTTTTGTGTATTTTTTTCGGCTTAATAAGTTTCGGCCTATTTTATGTCGGCTTATTGGCCTAATTTTGAGTAGTTGCGAAGAAATACAAGAAAATCGAAAAACGTCGAAAAAAACTGGATCTATCATAATGAATAAGTCTAGCTTTGAGACAAAAACATGCCATGACAATAGAATGTGAAAATAGCATCGGAACATAAATTACCAAGCGGTAATAAATACCGTGACAGAAACCTTTGAGCCGAAAAAAATCAAGATTTAAGACTTATGAAAAGTCCCCCTCGCCCTCAAAAAAAATATTTGCACGTCAAATTAAAAAAATTTGAGACAAACAAGCCGATAAAATATAGCTCGAAACCTAGTAAGCCCAAAAAAGGGGGAAAATAGAAAAAAAAGTGAAAACTAATAAGTTATTAAGCCCCCCTCGCCCTCAAAACACAGACACGCACAAGCACTTTTTCTTCGCTCGTCGAAGAAATGAGGCCGATAAGCCGATATTATATAGGCCGAAACCTATCAAGCCGAAACAAAAGGTAAAAAAGCGATACAAAAATGTCAAGAAAAATTGGAATTGTATTTCTATGAAAATGTTCAGCATTTTGAGCAATCCAAAGCCAAGCATTAAAAACATGTTTCCGTTGAAACAACTCGAAATCAGGTGACTGAGTTAATGAAATACAGGCCGAAATCATTTGTGCAGAATAAAACTTTTGGTCGAGAAAAAAACAAAAAAAGAAATATATACAAGGTCAAGGTTTAAAAAAATTACAAACAAACAGCAGAGGTGAATCAGAACACTAGAAGCTAATAATGTAACTCTATAATGTATACAAAATCAAATACGCGATTTAGTTGGATGGTAAAAACGAAGCGAAAACTAAGCCGACAAAAAGTAAACCGAAAGCGACGAAGTCGAAAACTCAAAAAATATCAAAGAAATATCATTAAAAATTCCAACTGCGAATAATTGGAAAAACAATAATAAGGGTACACAGTGAGAGTAATAGACCAATGAGCGCAAACATACGCACATACTTTATGCATGTCGAGTACTGCATGCAGGCTGAAATCTGCGGACAAAGTTGTTCAAGGGAAAAATCTAGTTCCCGATTGCAATACCCTTGCTATTACAAGGGTAATAATATTTTAGTAACTTCTAAAGTCTGGTTCTAATCCTAATCTGGCTAATTTGCCTCAGGTTGGAACTACTTTTGATTCAGGTGTTTTTTCTCAAACGGGTATTTGGGTAGCTTGAAGAAACAACAGATCAACCGAATGTGGTGCCATACTTACAGACCTTCACAATGGTAGGAGTTGAAATGCTAGTTACTGGATTATATATTTTTCATTACGATACTTCATTTTGATACGAGCAGTACAATCGAAAAAAATGTTCTATGTTTTTTTATCGTTATCAAATCGGAATGTAGACTTTTTCGGGTTAACAACTAGACAAACAAAATCAGTTAAATCCCTGGCTGCTATGCTGCTAAACTTTATGAAAACTGAAATGTGACTCCTGGGTGCAAGTTTATGACTGGTAATTTTTTCAGAATTAAACTATTTTTTTGTCGGCTTCATGGATTTCGTCGGCTTCTGGGTTGTAATACGGACCGGGAGCTTTTTTAAACTAGAAATTTTGTTTTTCAGAGTTTTATATGTCTGTTTATTTTTGTCGGCTTAGACTCTGCGTCACGAACTCTCTCTTTTTTTCTTGATTCAGTTTTTTACACTCACGAGAGCAATTGTCTTGTATTTGGGATATAGACCTTTTTCGCGTCGACATTTTTCTAACAAGAAATTGACCTTTTTTGAATTATTGAACCCTAACAATGTCCAGGTGCCCTCTGACTTGACTTGGAGGTAACTTGGTTGCTTTTGCAGCCTAAGGTTTTCGAATCGAGTCTCTTGCTTGTTTCAGTATATATACATAGAATTTTTTTAATGATTCTCAAGATTTATCGGATTAGTTGCCACATCACAGATTTTTCTTGTACTGTGAGCAAGTAACGGGTAGTTGGAAGTATTGATAATTGTCGTTTAATGGTTTTTTTTTCGCTCAACTGGTGCCTGATCAAAGAAAGTCGGCTTTGTTACCGCTTCTTAAATGTTGTTTCATTGCTAATTACGCTTGCTATTATCAAAGCAAGCAATATCAAATCGGAATATAGAATTTTTTGTGCTAACTAATTGCTTAACAGAATCACTTGGTCTCTTGGTTCATAATGATTTCAATTTTGTAAGCGTCTCCGGCACACTTAGTTTAGAAAAAATGAATAAGCGTGGGACGGCAAAAGTCCTGGGTTCGAATCTGGCCAGGACCTGTTTTTTTTTCAAACGGAAAATATTCCAAAAATTTTTTTCCAGAAACGGGAAAGTTTCATAAAAATTGTCGGCCTATTAATTGTCTGCTTGTTTTGTCGGCTTATTTGCCATCTCAAATTTTTTTTTGATGTATGCAGTTTCACTGTAGTTGGTTTTTATGTTTTCATTGTAGTTGCTTTTCTATAATTTTCTTTACTCGTGCAATTTGTAATTCTACTAGCCTTGACTTCGTTTATTTTCCTTTTTTGATTTTTTGCTAAAAAAATATGTCGGCCTCAATGATTTCCACTTATATTTTATCGGATGACTATGCAACGGCTTACATTTTGGGTCGTTCGACGGAACCAAAGTTTGTATGTTTTCCTCCGGATCGCACAAAATGTTTTAAAATCTCAGAATAGAATTTTTATTTCAAGTTTTTCACGACAACACTTTTTTCTGCTCAAAAACTATTTTTGAATGTTCATTAAGCGCCTCCAAATGTGGTTTCCGTAAATAGAACATCATTCCAGACAACTATTTTGAAATTTTCTTAGTTGTGATTTCTTCGAATATTTTTCCGTTTTCTTTGGACTTCGTGGCTCTTCTTTCCTTTCCTGCCTGCTAGCTTGCAATGCTAATTTTGTGGATGATATCGCATGTCATCCGAAGCTTCGCTTCGCCGCTGTGTTAACTTTGTTCTCGACACAAAAAACTTCAGTTGGTCAATTAATTGCATACTATCTACAAATCAAGCACCTGCTTACTTGCTTGCGTTTGATTTGAGAACACCCTTTGTTCCCTTGTTGTTTTGCTTGAGTGCTGGGGTAGATTTCTCAATTGATCAGGGTTTTTAATTTTAAAAAAATCGAATACAAATTTTATAAGGAGATATAAACAGGCCGGCAGATCTACATCCTGCACGCTGTACAAAACCCTCAACTAATATTGCAACATGATACATCAACATTTTGAGTTTTCTACACCATTGGATGAACTGGAATTTTTGTGCTCACTAACTTTCATTTAGAATTTCAAATTTATGTTCACACTAATAGTTTCTTGTACCTATCTTTCAGCAAATCTTAGAAATACAAGTTAGTAATATTGAAATTCTCTTAAATGATTCGGAGGTCAACGATAAGATTAACGCAAAAAATCACTTTCAGTAAAGCAAAGATAGCTGAACATGATAACTCGCTGACTTTCGATGAGCTTAATGGAACAGGTTGCTTTTCAAGGCAAGCTTACTACTTGAAAATCTTGTATCTCAATGTTGTTTATATTTTCTATTTACCTTTTATGTAGTCATGTCTTTTTAACAAAACTGCTATAGTTCATTAACCTTTGTACCTAAGCAATGCCACTTCAACGAGATAGTCTTTTATACAATTGATAATCATAGCATTAAATCACTTCTGTTTTCATTGCCTTATATGTCATTTAAGATAGTATTTTCCTAGGTCTGTTGAGCAACAGTGACAACCTATTCCAAGAGTATGACGGCAACTCGGAGGTGAAATGGCGAAAGATACTTCGCAAACAGGACAAGGAGCTCAAAGAAAAAGAGGGCACTTTTCGCGATCTCGAGTTCCGTCTCGTCGAGGAGATCAAAGCATTCACTCGGGGAAATGCGCAGAGAAGTCGACTTTTAATCGACCTCGGCGCTCTTTCGGCAGAGGAGGCAAAAACTCTAGCAGAGCTGGAAAAAGTAAAGGTCGAAATGCTTGAGGAAATGGAGCGTTTAAAGAATAACCCTTCGCCCCGCAAAAACATTCTGGAAGAGTTCAAAAATCGGAAACAAAAAATGGACGACAAAAAGAAAATGGACAGAGAAAAAACTGAGGCGGGACGAAGTGAAACGGCCGGAAGCCGTCACGGGGGGCGCTTCACGGGACGCACAACTCCACGAGGGGGGACTATGCATTTAGCCAAAGGAGCGAAGGCACAACGAGAATTACACGAGTCGGAATTGGATCCATTCTTGCGCCGCGGAGTCTACGGGAACAGAATTGCGGTCGACAGACGCGGAGGCCCGGATCCCGTGGCTGCGTTATTCAACCAGAGCAACGACCCCTCCAAAATAGGAGGAACTGGATTTTATGTCGGAAACTTGATGAGTAATGACGATGATTACGCTGAGTTTCTAGGCGGCACAACTCCTAGAGGACTGACCTTAAACACAAGTAATTACATGCCCGATGACGTAGGCAAAGGATCAACAAAGAAGAACACATCAGTAAGGACATTGCCAAAGATTTAGAACAATAGAAGTTAAATGCAAATGAAAGTTATATTCTACATGAGATAATCAATTTAGAGCCGATTTACCTCGATAGTTTTTTCAGTGGTTGTTTGACAAGCGAATCCGTCGTAGTCACACCCTAAGTACGCGAACTTTAGAGCGACTCTTCTTTTACCACACCTAAAACAAAATTAAAACTGATCATAGTAGGTTAAGAAGCCATATCGAATTTAATGCATTGATTGAATTTAGGCAACAAACTTGATAAAAATATTTGTGAAATAGATCAAAATTACTATTTGCAGATTCAAAAAAATTGTAATTTAACTCAAATTTAGCTATATAGAGCATTTTTCACCGCGCATATTTCCACTATTTTTTACACAGAGACGAAGTTGCACTTCGCATAAACAAGCAAAAATATGACCAATAACTCTACTGCGAAAAACTGAATGAGTAAAACTACAAATATTCCTAAGTGACGAACGCCAAGTATGACGGATTAGCAGTATCAGTCAATTTGATTTTTAAAAAAATCAGCAACTAACATGCCTCAATTTATACAGCAGTCTATGGAGCAGTAATAACATGAAAAAATTAAATGTAATAGAAAAAAATGAATTTTTTTATTTAATTTGGGGTTTTTTGTGAAAACCATCCCCCACTCGCCATATTTAGTACAAAGTGATAAATTTCGCTTCTAGAAACAAATCAATTCCGGCAAATAATCTTCCTTCAACCAATTTGGAACAATTTCTAAGACGGATTAAATCTCCGCTTACGAGTAAGTAGCGCGAAATATATCGCGCGTTAATTGTTCCAAATTGGTTGAAGGAAGATTATTTGCCGGAATTGATTTGTTTCTAGAAGCGAAATTTATCACTTTGTACTAAATATGACGTGTGGGGGATGGTTTTCACAAAAAAACCCAAATTAAAAAAAAATTATTTTTTTTCTATTACATTTAATTTGACCCAGATGAATTGTCCCAAATTGGCCAAAATGGCAATATTTAAACCCCCATAACTTTACGAAAAATGATCACAGGTGAAATATCTTTTCAGTCGAAATTTGTCTGAAGAAAAAAACCACTCCGAGCACAAATATTCCGCTACTTTCGTTACGAAAGTCGAAACAATAATAATCTGTGTTAATATCCTTAGCATTGGCTGTACTTAATAGCTGATTATTGATCAAAATGAACACATTTAATCGCAACAATATTTGCGTCGCAACAATATTTGCGACCTAGGTGGGAAAAAAGATCGTTCCTACTATAGCACAAGCATCGCATGTGTAATCAAATAATACTGCGTAAATAATAGCGAAAAATGTGAAAAGTCCAGATGGAGCACTTGCTTCGCGAATGAGAATGGTCTGGCCGGTGCGACTTTCCGCTTCATACTGGCCTGGTGGCTCTTTGACCCAGATGAACTCTCAATGTGATCCTGCAGCTGCAACACCCTCGAAATCAAACCCTAAACAAAGAAAATAGTCCAAATGAGGCCCAGAAAAATGAACTCTTTCGAAAACAAAAAATCCTAGAATCTAAGACTATTTTTTGGTAATGTGCATTTTTAAAGATAGATGTTAGAATTGCATGGAGTCGGAACTTGATCAACCACAATATCAAACACTGTACAGGAATTCCTGATGCCACCAGCCTCTTTTTCTTAATCCACAATACATATAATCAGCTACAAAACTCACGGATATCCGAAAACGACTTTGTAGGTGCCATAGAGGCTTCAGATAAAAAAAATTCCGTACAATAAGTCGGAAGTTCAGTAAACCTATTAATCTGACTGTATCAACCTGCATTTTTATTACATTAAGAAACGTTATAAGATGATCTAAAACATCCCTAGCACAAGCAATAAACTAAAATACACTTCATTGAGTATGAATGAAAATCACAGGCACCTGCTTCGTGAGTTTGCACAACTCTTTTGTGTCGTCCAGCAACGGAACAGAAGAAGAGTAAAGAGGAGAGGACATCTTGCTCAGAAAGCGAAAATGGCGGAGCAGTCCCAGTGAATTGCAAAAGATATTCAGCATGCGACACTCTGTCACATCCACATCTTAAAATGATATTACTACCAGTTAGGGCGGAAAAAAGAAAACATTTCTCGGCACAGTTGAAAGACAGCTCAAATTCGCGCAAGAGATTTCTTTCTTAAAATGTGCTTTCAGATAACAAATAAATTGAAACCCAACAATGTGAACCAAACAATTAATGAACACAAATCAAAAAAATAATCAACGAGGGTTAATTTCAATTATTTAAAATATGAAATAAATATTGCACGAAATTAATGTGAAGGGCGATTATGTCTGCTACAAAGATTGGCATAAATGTTTCGTAAACAACTATTACGCATAAAAAACTTCTTCATGTTCAAATTAAAACCTTTATCTGTAGCGTATATCAGCGGGGTTTTATGTTCAGATCCTTGGGCCCAAAATTTGATTTTTTCAAACTGTTGGGACCAAAATTTGGAAATTTCACATCGTTGAAACCGATATGTCCCTGTACTAACATATGCACCACGGGTATGCCATCCTTCAAAAGCCGATATCAAAAAAAAACCAGAAGAACGAGACTTTATGGATAAGTAACTGCTCTACCGACTACAAGGAGAGACTGCTCCACATGAGATGCAGATGCCAGTATCAAATCTGACCTATCTGTTATTAGGGATGGTTCTTAGGGTGTAAAAATGTAAGCCTTGAAGGTTCGATAAAATTAACTCAATGGAAGATCCTGAGCTGAGTGGCCATTGATATTCGAACGAGCTGCTGCTAACTTGATGGTTGAAGAGGAACAGAATCTCAAACTGATCCACCAAAGGCTAAGTGTAAGAGATAATCTGAAAGATAAGATTTTCGTGAATCCGTGAAAAAAAAAACAAAGCGTTTACATTTCAACTTGATAACTGTATTAAAAAAATCACCTGAGTTCAAAAATAATCAGGTTGTTTTTGGAGCAACTCTAATAGTCAGCTTGCATCAATCGCAACAAAGTTTATGCTTTTTCGAAAGTAAAGGGTGCAGCAAATTAGTTTTGCGTCACAGGAGAGCGTGAAATGAGGAAGACGTACCCACAGCTCGTTCAAATGCGAAAACAATATTTAAAATATAGCCCAATTAATAAGCACCTTGAGCTTGTAAAAGAGCATTTCATTGTGCGTTCATTTATCACATATACCTGACATTTTCCCTAAAAGTTTTATATATTTCTTTTTTTGTTTCTTGTTATTTCTATAAAATCTCCAGTTTTAAAATTTCCGAAAATAAAGCAGCAACATGGATATTGACGATCTGAAGACTCAATACTCTGAGAAACAATAGGTGGACAAATCATTAAACAACTTAAACGCGGACTACCGTCAAATATCAAGTTAGTTTAAAAGAAAAACTACGTAATGATCCAATCTCTATTGGAACTTAATACTCATCCAATTTTTGCAATATTCATAATTAACTATCCGTTATTTAAATTTATAATTTTAACTTATAATTTTAACTAACTATTGTTTCAACTCCAGTTTTTATCATGAAGTTTGACTATCTAACCTGAGACTTATAGCAATAGGATTAATTGTTAAAGGGACAAAAACGATCGCATATGCCCCTGTCAGCAAATTTCGGAAAAAAACTTCCGTGCCTGATGCCAATGAGTTCAGTTGCACAACCTGGTATCAGACAAAGCCCGCAACGCCAAAATCTTCCCTGTTTCGGAAGAGACGCAAGGATGCACGGGTACTACAACTTTTGAGAATGTTTTCTTCAACGGCAACAGGGAGACTTCTATATCTCTGATTGACACGGTAGGGTTTGATGACCCGGAACGAGATGCTGACGCCACAATCAATTGTCCTATTTGATATTAGAATGATTTCTCGGGTGTAAAAAACGTAAGCCTTGACTATCTGATAAAAATAACTCAATGGAAGTTCCTGATCTGAGTGGCCATTGATATTCGATCGAGCTGCTGCTAATTTGATGGTTGAAGAGGAACAGAATTTTAACTAATCCAGCATTAGGATTAATTGTTAAAGGGACAAAAACAAACGCACTTGCCCCTGTCAGTAGAATTCGAAAAAAAACTTTGCGCCTGATGCCAATGAGTTCACTTGCACAATCTGGTATCAGACAAAGCCCGCAACGCCAAAATCTTCCCTGTTTCGGCAGAGACGCAAGGATGCACGGGGACTACCACAATTGGGAATGTTTTTTTTTAACGACAACAGAGAGACTTCTATATCTCTGATTGGCACGGTAGGGTTTGATGACCCGGAACAAGACGCAGACGCCACAATCAATTGAACTATTTGATATTAGGGATGATTTCTCGGGTGTAAAAACGTAAGCCTTGACTATCTGATAAAAATAACTCAATGGAAGTTCCTGAGCTGAGTGGCCATTGATATTCGATCGAGCTGCTACTAATTTGATGGTTGAAGAGAAACAGAACTTTAACTAGTTAAAGGGACAAAAACAAACGCACTTGCCTCTGTCAAAAGACTTCGAAAAAAAACTTTGGTGCCTGATGCCAATGAGTTCACTTGCACAATCTGGTATCAGACAAAGCCCGCAACGCCAAAATCTTCCCTGTTTCGGCAGAGACGCAAGGATGCACGGGGACTACCACATTTGGTAATTTTTTTTTCAACGGCAACAGACTTCTATATCTCTGATTGACACGGTAGGGTTTGATGACCCGGAACGAGATGCTGACGCCACAATCATTTGTCCTATTTGATATTAGAATGATTTCTCGGGTGTAAAAAACGTAAGCCTTGACTATCTGATAAAAATAACTCAATGGAAGTTCCTGATCTGAGTGGCCATTGATATTCGATCGAGCTGCTGCTAATTTGATGGTTGAAGAGGAACAGAATTTTAACTAATCCAGCATTAGGATTAATTGTTAAAGGTACAAAAACAAACGCACTTGCCCCTGTCAGTAGACTTCGAAAAAAACTTTGCGCCTGATAACAATGAGTTCACTTGCACAATCTGGTATCAGACAAAGCCCGCAACGCCAAAATCTTCCCTGTTTCGGCAGAGACGCAAGGATGCACGGGGACTACCACAATTGGGAATGTTTTTTAACGACAACAGAGAGACTTCTATATCTCTGATTGGCACGGTAGGGTTTGATGACCCGGAAGGAGAGGCAGACGCCACAATCAAATGAACTATTTGATATTGGGGATGATTTCTCGGGTGTAAAAACGTTAGCCTTGACAATCTGATAAAAATAACTCAATGGAAGTTCCTGAGCTGAGTGGCCTTTGATATTCGATCGAGCTGCTACTAATTTGATGGTTGAAGAGGAACAGAACTTTAACTAATCCAGCATTAGGATTAATTGTTAAAGGGACAAAAACAAACGCACTTGCCCCTGTCAGTAAACTTCGAAAAAAAAACTTTGTTGCCTGATGCCAATGAGTTCAGTTGCACAATCTGGTATCAGACAAAGCCCACAACGCCAAAATCTTCCGTTTCGGCAGGGACGCAAGGATGCACGGGGACTACCACATTTGGGATTGTTTTTTTTTCCAACGAAAACAGAGAGACTTCTATATCTCTGATTGACACGGTAGGGTTTGATGACCCGGAACGAGACGCAGACGCCACAATCAACTGAACTATTTGATATGAGGGATAATTTCCCGGGTGTAAAAACGTAAGCCTTGACTATCTGATAAAAATAACTCAATGGAAGTTCCTGAGCTGAGTGGCCATTGATATTCGATCGAGCTGCTACTAATTTGATGGTTGAAGAGAAATAGAACTTTAACAATTAATCCTAATGCAGGATTAGTTAAAGGGACAAAAACAAACGCACTTGCCTCTGTCAAAAGACTTCGAAAAAAAACTTTGTGCCTGATGCCAATGAGTTCACTTGCACAATCTGGTATCAGACAAAGCCCACAACGCCAAAATCTTCCCTGTTTCGGCAGAGACGCAAAGATGCACGGGGACTATCACATTTGGGAATGTTTTTTTTTTCAACGACAACAGAGACTTCTATATCTCTGATTGGCACGGTAGGGTTTGATGACCCGGAACAAGACGCAGACGCCACAATCAATTGAACTATTTGATATTAGGGATGATTTCTCGGGTGTAAAAACGTAAGCCTTGACTATCTGATAAAAATAACTCAATGGAAGTTCCTGAGCTGAGTGGCCATTGATATTCGATCGAGCTGCTACTAATTTGATGGTTGAAGAGAAACAGAACTTTAACAATTAATCCTAATGCGGGATTAGTTAAAGGGACAAAAACAAACGCACTTGCCTCTGTCAAAAGACTTCGAAAAAAAACTTTGGTGCCTGATGCCAATGAGTTCACTTGCACAATCTGGTATCAGACAAAGCCCGCAACGCCAAAATCTTCCCTGTTTCGGCAGAGACGCAAGGATGCACGGCGACTACCACATTTGGTAATGTTTTTTTCAACGGCAACAGACTTCTATATCTCTGATTGACACGGTAGGGTTTGATGACCCGGAACGAGATGCTGACGCCACAATCATTTGTCCTATTTGATATTAGAATGATTTCTCGGGTGTAAAAAACGTAAGCCTTGACTATCTGATAAAAATAACTCAATGGAAGTTCCTGATCTGAGTGGCCATTGATATTCGATCGAGCTGCTGCTAATTTGATGGTTGAAGAGGAACAGAATTTTAACTAATGCAGCATTAGGATTAATTGTTAAAGGGACAAAAACAAACGCACTTGCCCCTGTCAGTAGACTTCGAAAAAAACTTTGCGCCTGATAACAATGAGTTCACTTGCACAATCTGGTATCAGACAAAGCCCGCAACGCCAAAATCTTCCCTGTTTCGGCAGAGACGCAAGGATGCACGGGGACTACCACAATTGGGAATGTTTTTTAACGACAACAGAGAGACTTCTATATCTCTGTTTGGCACGGTAGGGTTTGATGACCCGGAAGGAGAGGCAGACGCCACAATCAAATGAACTATTTGATATTAGGGATGATTTCTCGGGTGTAAAAACGTTAGCCTTGACAATCTGATAAAAATAACTCAATGGAAGTTCC